CTAGTACAAATAGTAGAAATGTATGTATTGCACATATGTTACTATTTTATAAATTACTTAATAAAGATATAAGCAAGGCTTCATCTTAAAAAAAAAAAAAAAAAAAAATCTATATATTGACTTTTTGTATTTCTATTATTTTAGAATTTTATTAAAATTATTCCTAATCAGTGATTTCTTTTTTCTATTATTATTCTCAGCCTTCTAATCATCACAGTCTTCTTATATTAGGTCTGTCACTATTTAAAGATCTGAATACTGAAGATTTTTTTATTTTCATAGTGCACTATCAAATGTGATTAATCAACAATTATGATTCTAACTTAATTTTTGTTCTCTATTGGACTTGAACTGGCAACCTTGCAATTGGTGACCTGAAAGTATAACCACTTCGCTATTGACTCACAGGTCTTTAAATTAATATATTAGAAGACTTTTATATAAACTATTATAGTAACAAATATAAAATTAAAAACAAAATAAAAAAAACAAAAGCAATTAAAAACTTAAATTTAAAAACAGAATTTATAATTTATAATTAAATATATTTTTAAAAAAAAATCAAAAATAACTAATAAAATATATTATATAATAAAAATAAATAATATAAAAAAATATATTTATAAAATATATAATAAATAAACTTTTAATCTTAGAAAAAACTTAATAAAAGAAGTTTAAATATATATATAATAACAAAATATTAAGTATGTTAAAAAAATAAAAAAATATATATATTTAACATTATATAAGAAACAAACAAATTTGTAAAAAAGAATTTAATAAGTAATTATTATAACTATAAAAAAGTTTTTAAAAAAAAGAAAAAATAGTATTCACACAATACAACTTTTTTATCTGAACCAAACTTTTCAAAAAGCCAAACTACAAAAATAATATAGTTAATATATTAAATTTTATGAAAACCTTTTTAAAGTATTGTACACACATTGTTGAACATTGAAATAGAATTGGAAAAGAGTTGCAACCTTGTGATAATATTTTAAAAAGTACTCTAGGACTATAGAAGAAGTAGTTAATAAAAGTTAAGATTTCTTATTAAGTAAACAACAAAATTGAATATATTAGTTTTATATAACTGTAAAACCTACAAGAAATATTCACAAGAGTTAAGAACTCATAAAAGCTAAAATTTGGTTTACCTAACACTCTCACTTTTTCTTTGAGAAAAATTTTGGAAAAGTGAGTAATTCAGTTTATCTCTTCTAAAAATTAATATATAAAATCATCAAAACAGTTAGCAGTATTTACTTCCTAAACAGGATTGTTTACAACATGAATCAGAAATAATACAGCAATATAAACATGACTATACACATGTTTCAAGCTGCTAAAAACCTGTTAAACACTGTCTCTGGACTAACTAATATCTTATATCACTCTTTATAATAAAGTCAAAGTTTTTTTTTCTTTTTAGTTTTTTGTTTAAATAATCTAAATAAATAGAAAGATAGTAAAGTAATTTTTATTTAGTATAATTTATAATTTTTATAAGTCTTGCACAAGCTTATAATTGTAATTATCTAATATCTGTAAATTGCAAAATTTATATCTGACATAGGCTTAAAATTGTGACCATCTGATTTTATGAATTGCAAGTTTCATACTTTCCTTTTTTCTCATTTTTTCTTTTTCTCTTTTTATTTTTTGTTTTGTATCTTTTATCATTTACTCTTATACCTTTGTTTTTTTTTTTAAATCTAAAATTTTTTTTTGTTTTTTTGCTTTTCTACAAGAAAACATCATCAGATTGATAGTATCTTATTGTAAGATGGCAGTTAAACAAACAGTCTACCTTTGTTTGAGATAGTGCAACAAGTCACACATAGGTACCAATAAGGTGACTAGATGATACTGAACTTAAGTATTAGGAAAATTCTCTGTAATCAGTATAGTATCAAGAAATCTAATAAAGTATTAATATGACTGCTTAAGTTAAAAAAAAAAAATTCTAAGTTCTTTTATATATGTTATATATAATATTTTTTAAAATAAAAAATATTATTAAAAATCTAATTTAAAAAAAATACAAAGATGATTATTGCAACTTCTAAGTACAAAACAAAGACAATAGTTTGCAATATAATAATAAAAACAATTTAAGACATTTTTTATAAACAAGTTTAAAAAATACAATATAAGAAAAAATAAGTAAAAAAAAAAATAAACAAAATAAAAAAAGAAATACAAAAAAAAAACTAAAAAAAAGAAAATGCAAATTAATAAAAGATAAAAAAAAAAAAAAGCAAACAAGAAAAAATAAATTAAAAAAAAAATTAGAAAAACAATGCTAAGGCTTGTTATAAAAAAAAAGAAAACTTTTTTATTATAAACTTTTAGTCAAACAAGCAATTTACAATAGTATAACAGGTTGCACTTAGGTCTATTAGGATGACTAAGTAATGTTAAACTTAGTTGTTAGGTTTTTTATGTAATTGCAAAAGTAGTTTCAAGAATCTTAATAAAGTACTAGCATGACTACTTAAGAAAAAAATAATAATAAAATGACCTATATATTTTAAAATAATTAATTAAATTGACTAATCAGAATTGAGCTAGAGGTGATTACACCATACATGAATGATGGTAACTACTAAGTAAAAAATATTATGTGATAAATGGCACGTTTCTAAACAATTTATAAAATTTCTTTTTTTTATATAAAGTACATATAAATTTTTTTTTATTTTTTTTTGAAAAACTCTTCCAAATAGTAAATATACTTAAAATTTTTTCTTAGTTTTGTAAAATTTGACCCGGCCGGTTATGAGAACCAATTATTTATTACGCTTTGCAAAAAAGGTGTAACGATAATAGGAAATTTCGAAGATTCTAAATAGTCTATCAATCATATATTCAATAAGCAATCTTTCAATTTCCCGTGATTTTACATGATATCATGATCTACAGGGGTCACATTTTTTTGCAAAGAGCAATGTATGGATTAAAAATCCACTTAGTTGGTTCTGAGTTCTATAAAGATGAGTGATAAATAAATTGGGAAATGGGCTATGAAATCCCATTCCCAAATTTAGAATACGGTCGATTCTAATTAAGCCGACTTTTCAAAAACATCGATCGACTTAGCCGGTTAAGTCAACTAACTACATTCTCCAATCATATTCGATCTTGAATATTAAGTAATGTATTAGATGATAGTCTGTCTATAAACGTTCGGCTTTAAATCGTCCAGCAGCACATGAAGTGGGTATTCATAATTTAGCAATCCACCAAGTTTATATTAGTCTCTTGATTTTTCGTGGTAGAACCTTTCTCCTGACTTTTGGCAGGCAGATAATTTGGAGATAAGAGAGTAGCCGTTAAAGATTGTGAAGGTTCGTTCGCTTGTGAACCTAAGTTCACGTTGTCTGAAGCACTAATCGTTTGTTGGTTGTCATAATTGATTTGAAAAGTACCATCTTCCTCGTGCGAAGTGGTACAGTTAGATCCATTTTGAATGCACAGATATCTCGATTTATGAATTGTTACATCACTACGTAGCAGCTAGCTTTTTATCTCTATTATAACTATATGTAGTGTCAAAGTAAGTGCATTTTCACTAACACAATGAAAAATTAACGTTAGATGTTACTAATTGGGAACTATGTACGAATAGTGATTTGCTTTTAGTGGTATTGCGAGATGTGAGGTTTGCATTGTTTGACTTTAGTCTGAACTACACCAAATTCTCAGTGCTCTCCTTGACGGTTCGATGATGTATTCGGAACCCACTTGTATCTTACCAAATATGGTTACGCAAACCGCATTCTATTGTGGTCATAGCCATTTCAAAAAAAAAAAAAAAAAAACTATATAAAAGATGTTGTAACACTCTAAATTGCTAATATAATTCTGCTCATCTCGCAAAACCTGCCTCTCTTCATCCTATAAATTGGTTTAAACATATCTCTTAACGTTGACGACAAAGCGTCCAACTCGCCTAGAAAGTTTGTGTTTATAATAAAAGAAGGGATAAAAGTTTTTTGTCGATTCACTTCAACTAAAAAATTAAAGATTTTTTGACAGCAAAAACGCATTAAAAAACATGTCAATTGAACTTGAGCCACAATCTCAGCTCTCTTTTCATCGTAAGTATTCTTTACGGTCTTATGAGCTTTAGAGCAGGTTTGAAAGTTGCCTCTTTTGTACAAGTTGAGATGTTTGTAAAATTGCTTCTTTGTGGATTTGAACGAATAGTGAGGGATAGTGAGAAGTTTGAGTTACCGCGGCTACAGTGTAGACATGATTTATAATATTTTGGAATTTTTGTCTTAAAAAATATAGGTCCCTTTACACAACTTGTTAAAGAGATTCTGGTTGTACGTAATCCGAACCATGAACCAGTTGCATTCAAAGTTAAAACTACAGCTCCTAAACAGTACTGTGTGAGGCCAAATTCGGGCAGAATTGAGCCAAATCAGAGTGTTGAGGTTCAAGGCATGCATAAACGATGCGCTTATTCTTCTTTTGGAGAATCGAGACGCTTGAATTACGCTAACGGCATGATTTCAAAATAGTTATTCTTCAGCCCATGAAAGAAGACCCACCCCCAGATTTTAAATGTAAAGACAAGTTTTTGGTACAAAGTATAGGAATTACACCAGAACGTGAAACATTATCTTTACAGGAACTGGTAATAAAAAATATATATTAATTATTTAAACTCTTATAAGATGTTTAATTAACGTCACTTGTTTTTTTATTCGTAATTATTTGACTTAGTGGGCTATAACAGAGAAAGAGTCAAAAGATACGATCAAGGAAAACAAGATCCGATGTGTATATTTACCACCAGTTGGAACTAATTTATCTCCGACATTGCCATCTCCAAATCAACCTCTCCCAGTTCAATCATCCATTCCAGCTGTTCCATCAAGTCCACCATCAGGGGACAGTGCCTATACTGAATCTCAAAAATTGAAGGTGTGCATACGTCTTTTATATTATGTGATATTTTTCGTTATTCAAAAATGCTTATAGTCAATATATTTCAAAAATTCAGAATGATCAACCTTTACCACCACCATACACAAATGATATTTACCACCCAATTGAAAAGAATTCCTTGGGACTTTCAGAAAAATCGATCTTAACGCAGGCGGCCACTACAAATGGTCACTCGACTACACAACGTACGCCTGCAATCGTTGGTGCGTTCCCCAAAGATGATGCATTCGAATCTCATAATATTGCCAAGCCCTTCAGAGATGATGATGACCCTGCAAAATTACGACGACAATTGCTTGAAGCAAAAGAAGAGATTGATCGTTTAAATCACATTGTTGAAAACTACAAACAAGAATTGAACACAGCCCAGATGAGACAACGTAAGAGTGAAGAAGCTGCTGCTTCATCGAACAGGCATAGCGTGTCCGCCATTGGTGGTTACTCCGTCAAGACTCAAGAAAAAATTCCTGAAGGTTATTACCCGTTCGAGGTGGTAGTTGGTGCTGCAGTTGGCGCCTTCCTATTTGGAGTTATGTTTTTCTGAATTACGTTTATCCGTCGATTTAAAGGTATGTTTCGAGATTGGTTTTTCTTTTGTTTTAATATATCTTGATTAGTCTTACATTTGTTATAACCTGTCAGTTCTGTTATTATTAAAATTGAAAGAAACAATTAACCATATTATATACTTTAGGTATAAATGTTTTTTATTTGATTCATTATTACGATAACGGACGACATGCCCCTAATTCCATTTATGTTCTTTTTACTACACAACTTTAAACTAAATCAATATATAAACATTTCGGTGCGATGCTAGTTTCAGTAATTTTCAGTAATTTCATTATATATTTGCAGAATTTCAATCGCTTAATTTGATCAAATATTCCTAAAATGTATTAATTTGCTTATTTTTATTTTATTTTCCCTTGTCTTTTTTTTTTATTTGAAATATTATGAGTGTTTGCACAGTAAGATTTTGTGGTTACTATCTCTGAATATTGCGATATAAATATATTCGTATACATTTAATTGTTATTAAGTATGTTTTTATTAAGAGGTTAAATATTGATGGTAGGTGATGATTGGGCTCCTGTCAACTCGTGATTCACGAATTAAAATACTCGAATAATTTTGATCTACGTAGTTAATTTTGTTCGAGTTACTAGAATTATAAAATTTTAATTTCATACTATATACTTATAAAGGTAATATATCCCCCTGCAAGGGCAATCTTATTTTGATGTGCGTAATAATTATGTATATTTTGACTTGCGAGTTATGTTTCGAATTATTTTAGTCACGAGTTGATTGAGTCCAATCATTAATGGTAGGTTAAAGCTACGTATAATTCGCGATATATAATATTACTAATCCACCAGTAACTTTGAGTGGACTAGAGAGAATGTGAATTGATACATAATTATATAAAAAATTGATGGGTTTGAAAATTGTGCCTCAATTTAAGCATATTAAATCCGCTGTCTTTAAAAAACAAGTGTGCTAAAATTTTAGCAAAAATTCTGTGGCATATTGGGGTTGAGTCAATAGAGTATTGTTTAATAATTTATTTTTAAAACTTTGAACAAGAATATTTAATAAATATTTAATTAAATTTATTAAAGATTCTTTTAAGAAGTGAATAAAATTTTTAAACCAAATTTTATTATAAAAAATTTGCTTGATTTTTTATTAATTTACTTTTATATATTAGTGTTAAAAAATGATTAAATCATTTTGTTATTATAGTAATGTCTTAAGTTTTTTTATATCATTTTTGTCTTATTATTTACTTATTTATATTTTTAATAATATTTAGCTTTATGTAAAGTAAATTATTTGTTGATGAAATCAAGAATCTATAAACATTGTTGGGTTTAGATGATTGTGACTTAGGTTGCCAAAGGGCAGGTCTAACAGAAGAAATATGGAAAGTAGAAAAGATACTAGAAAACATAGATGGTTGGAGAAATAACTTGGCTTGCTTAATAATATTAAAAGCAAGAAAATTAAAAATAAACATAAGAACAGAAGACAATTTATAGACAATATTTGGGTATAGCATTAAAATAAGTGAGCTTGTGAATACTAATCTATAGAAAAGAAGTGGAACTAGAATAAATGAAGAAGGTTTAGTATATCTAAACTAGTTACTTAATACAAAAGAAAAAAGATTAGTTATATGATAACAGTTAAAAAATTACCAAGGCTTGTTAAGCAAAGAAAAAAAAGCAAATTGGTTCAAAATAATAAACCAAAAAATGCTCAATAAACCAGAAAGTAGAGAGATTAAAAAATGATTTAAAACAAATAAACAAAATACATAGATAATGCAAATTAAATAAAAAAGTATATCAGAGAATAAGAGAAAAAAAGAATAGATAATATATAGTATACAAAACCATAGGCAGTTGAAAAAAATAATTAAAAAGAAAAAGAAAAAAGTATTAGTAGAACACTAACAAATGCAAAGCAGAGAAGACAAATTAGCTGTTGAAATAAAAAGATACAAGAACTGTATAAAAACAAAAGAATAAATAGAAGATAGCTGCCAATAGTAAATCAAAATAAACAGTAAAGTTAGCATAGTTTTAGATATATTAATAAAAAAAGACAGTAATAAAATTAATATAGCAATAGATCAAATAACAGAAACAATAAAGATAAAAAGATCAAAAATTAAATACAAATACATTTAGCAGTATATAAAGAACAAGAAAACTTATAAAAAAAAATCTAAAAAGTGACTATCATAACAGTCTGAAAGAAACTTAAAGAAGAAAAAAAAATCTGAATCTCTCTATATATGTTATATATAGCACTTTTTGGTAAAATGAAAGCAGAATAAGTAAGAATAAGAGAGGCTCTAATTAAAAGTCTGATTTTAAAAGAAATACAAAATTGACTATAACAGCTCCTAAATATAAAGTTAAAACAGCAATTGCAAGTATAATAGCAAGTATAACCTGAAATACATTTTATGATCAAGTATAAAGAGTCTAATATGAGAAGATTAATAAATAAGAAAAGAAAATAGAAATAATAGGTAGGTTAAAAAAAGAAAGTAAAAAAAAAACTGAGATCAAGTAAGAAAAAAAAGGCAAATTAGCAAAGAATAAAAGAAAAGAAAGAGAAAATAAGAGAAAAAAAAGAATAAATCAGAACAGAAACATAGAAGACAATTTTAGAACTTGTTATAAAAGAAAAAAGACCCTTCTACTATGAATTTTAAGTAATTAGACAAGTAGCTTACTTCTGTTTGAAGTAATGCAACAGGTTGCACTTAGGTACTATTAAGATGGTTAGGTAATGTTAGACTTAGTTGTTAAGAACATTTATATAATTGCAAATGTAATTTCAAAATCTTAATAAAGTATTATCATGACTGCTAAAGAAAAAAATATATATATTTTAATTTATTTTTAAAATATATTTTTGATTTTTTTAGTTTTATTTAATTTTTAAATTATTTTAAAATAACTGAAATTCTTTTAAAATTATTTTGTTTCTTTTACAATATTGTAAAATTATTTTATTTTAAATAATTATATATCAATCACAGTTATTTCAAAAAATTTTTAGTATATAAAATCTTTTGCAATATTTTATATATTTATTTTGCTAATGCTACTGTTATTATTTTGTAGTTACTATTTGTTAAATCTATTGTTTCTTTTATGTCAGCTTTTTGAATAATTAATGCAAGTGTTTTTGATAGCCAAATATAGTTAATTCTTATTACTACTTTCTAACTTAACTATATATATGCTTTTTTTATTAAATGTAAGCTTCTATATGAGTCTGTAAAGTTTTATCTTTTAAGCTAATTAAATATTAATA